TTCGGGAGAGGCTCAGAGTAGAGCTGCTGCTCCTCCACATCGAGAGGAGTCAGTTGAGGTGGCTCGGACATCTTCTTCGGATGCCCCCTGGACGCCTCCCTCAGGAGGTGTTCCAGGCACGTCCCACCGGGAGGAGGCCCAGGGGACGACCCAGGACACGCTGGATAAAGCGGGAGACGACAAGTACAAGTACATGTCCTTATGGTCCCTATGCACACCTATGCCCATGATTAAAAGGTTTTATCAAATGGGTTTGGCTGTTTTAAGGACAGATTGTGGGAATATAAATCTGATACTGATGAAGAAGCTCCTCGAAAATGTTGTTAGCACCCAGAACAGCAGTGAGACATAATGGAGAGTTATTGTCACTGGATGATTTAAATAATAAATATGCCTAATTCTCAACCCAGGAATATGGACAAATTATAAATTATTCACTAAATATTTAGTATGGAGCTAAATATTTATCCAATAAAGTAAATATTTAGTTTGGAGCAAGATATTTAACAAATATTAAGATTGTAAAATATTTTGTTCCAAACTAAATATTCTGCCAGCTTGGTGCTAGCTGAATATTTAGTTTGTTAAATGTTTAATTTGGAGATAACTATTTATTTAATAAACTAAATGTTTGATGTGGAGCTAAACATTTATTTCACAAAATAATTATTTAATTTGCAAACTAAATATGTATTTTCAAAGTAAGCTTTTTAAAAATGAATGAATAAGGCAGTGAAAATATGACTTGGGGTGGGAACTTATTTTTCTTAAAACACGCTAAAGAACCATAAAAATATTTGACTCCCAAACTTTACAAACAGTAGCCCATATTTGAGACGCTCTGATGGAGACAAACTTGTTTTAAATGTTTTATATTTACATTAATTGACTCTCAAACATTTTCACATGAATAAAATAAATTCTGCATGTCAGTTCTGTTAAAGTCTACATAAGAAACCTGAGCTTGTTTTAATGTCCGCCAGATACAGATCAGTGTTTCATGTTAAAGTATTCTTGCAATAACATGTATGAATAATCCATCTGACCACATAATGAATAATCTGTTGCATTAAGTGAATGTTTTAGCCAAACAGCCCAGGATTGTGTAAAGTGAGAGTCAGCAGAGCGCGCTGGAAGTCCTCCTCGGTCCAGGGCTCCCTGCGGGCCTCCTCTGCACCGCCTCTGCTGCTGCTGTCTGACGTCATGCTGCTGCTGCTGTCCGGGCTGATGCTCAGCGGGTCGTTAAACGTCATCAGGATGTCTGTGGAGAACTGCGGCAGCCGGAAGAGGCCCAGGTGAATGCTGACCGTGTTCCTCGCCTCTTCGTTGAACTTGGACACACTTTGGGTCCCTCTCAGCATCCAGGCGCTGCTGCACTCCAACAGAGACACGCTGCCTTTCGCTATGGCCTCAGCGTTCCCCACTACAAAGGCCCCTGGCCCCTGAGCTTTATTGCTGCCCGCTATGTCCTCAAAGTGGAACCTAGCTGCGTCCTGGTCGGCCACCTGACCCTGATACTCCAGCAGCTCCACGATCAGGCTCTGGTCGGTGTGAGGATGGGCAAACACCTCCTGGTTGTCCGGGATTTCCCTCAGCTCGCTGATGTCCGTGATGTTGGAAGGGAGGACCGCTGACAGAGCTCCGCCGAAAAGAGGACGGAGCCGCGGGGCCGCTGCAGCCTGCATCTCCCGTTTAAGGCTAAAGGAAGCTGCAGAGGAAGGAAACAAATACAAATATTGTCACTTGTTGACAGCAGGCACACAAGCAAAATTAAATTACGCATTAAACGTCAACATAAACACCGACTTACAAGAGAGCGAGAAGAAACTATCCAGCGGCACACACGTTCAAACTTTGCTCTTCTTCGTGTGTTTTTTTTGTTGTTGGTTGTGGTCCACCAGACGCTCTGCTGCCCCTACAGGCGAGGAGCGCAGGCAAGAGGATTAAACATAGACCATACGTAGACGCCTAATTGGACGCTGGCCGACGTGCCTAGAGGGCGGCCATCTTGGATCAGACCACAGTTCAGACAGCTGCTGTCAGAATGAATAGGAGGCGCCTTAGATCTCACCTTAATCCCATGAAAGACGAGTCAGAGATAATATTACAATAATCTCTTACATGTCAAAACCCCTGAAAAGACCAAAACAAATCCTAAAATATATATTATATATGACACACTTTAATTGATTAAAGAACAAATGTTCACATTTGCATAAATAATGATAATAAAAACATAGTTTGAAAAAGAGTTTTTACACAGGTCTTGACAATGACAAAACAATAAAAATGAACATAAAATTAATAAGAAAACTAAATATTAACTTTACTCTCTTTTGTAAACCACATTACAACAAAGTTTCCTCTAAAGATCATAATACTCATTATTAAAAATCAATCCTTAAAAATACTGAATAATAATAATATACTATATAAATATATAATATAAAATAATATAAAAACATAATCTTATAGTATAATAATATAAAACTTTGCATTTATCATATTAATATTTAATTGCAAAATATATAACTTTGCATATATCTTTAAACAATAGTTTCAATAGTTTTTATCTAAATAAATATGTGCAATATTTATAATAATATAAATATAAAGGTAATTTTCAATTTTGTTTTATATATTTGGTTGTATATTATTATGATTCAGCACTTTTAAGGATTGCTCTTTGATAATGAGTATGGAGGAAAATTTGTTGTAGTGTCATTTACAAAAGAGAGTAAAGTTATTTTGTTTTTAAAATTATTTTTATGTTAATTTGTATGTATTTTTTGTCATTGTCAAGACCTGTGTCAAACCTTTTTTTAAACTATGTCTTTATCATTATTTATGCATATGTAAAAATGTGTTCTTTAATCAGTTAATGTGTGTCATATATAATATATATTCATATTTTAGAATTTGTTTTGCTCTTTTAAGGGGTTGTGACATGCAAGAGATTATTGTAATATTATCTCTGAATCGTTTTGTGTGTGATTGAAATGAGATCTGAGCTGCCTCCTATTCTTTCTGACAGCAGCTGTCTGAACTGCGGTCTGATCCAAGATGGCCGCCCTCTAGTCACGTCAATTAAACCTGAAGTCTGGCAATATGTTTATATATGTTTATTATTATTATTATTATTAAGAATATGTCCTCTAGGTTTTTAATACCGACATAAACACCATCATTGTGAACATTAATTCATAATTTTGCTTTTATTTTATCAGTACAGATTACTTTAAGCTATTCAGTGTTACTTTTGATAACTAATACAAATAATTAATTATGTCCTTATCGTCTACTAATAAGTGTTCATAAATAAATATTACAGACATCTTACCCTGAGAAGATTTGCACAGTTGTTGTCTCTCCTGATCCAGCTGTTTCTACCAACTTCCTGCCCGCCTGGTCAGCTGATTGAGGCGGTGGAAAGAGACAGAGGATGAGCATCGCTAGCATCCACAATGATTACGATGTCTCATGGTTTAGGACAGCCGGTAAAATGAATCCCACCGATCTGTAAGACCGATTAAGCAGTGAAATCTCTGGTCTGATAGCAGAGTCTCTCTGTGGAGGAAGGTTTTTCAGCGGATCTTCGATCAAACAGCAGGTAGGTACCTGGTGACGTCGGCATCATTAGCCTAGCCTAGCTTAGCTTAGCCTAGCATAGAAAGGGCCTTCTTTATCTGGATTTATTGTATATTTATTGGCCTGCTCTGTAGCTGGATAGTTTATACGATACTTGATGCTGTAAATATATTTAACGAGTAACATGTTGTAGAAAATTACACTTCTGGGTGTTTTTTTGAGGGTAGCAAACAATTAGCTTAGTGAAATGCTAAAGTTGTAATGGGTGAAACGACAGATAAATCTGTTTCTGTTTGCGCAGATAGAAATAATCACTATACTGTATCATCATCGTATGAAAGAGGGGTTTCCATAGAAACTTCACGAAAAATAACTAACGGTTGGAACTAAGAAAAGAAAAACAAAAAAAGTATTGATAAATAATAATAAACAAACTGCAATAAATGAGCACCGAAAAAAATAAATAAAAATAATGCTTGGATGTAGGATCATTTCAGTATCAAATTATTCAATCTTTATAGAAACTTCTCTCTAAAAAACTTTTTTTTACATCCCTAAAAATCAACAATAATGAACTAATGTTTCCATTAATCTAAAGTAGAGCTGATCTTCTATCATAGGCATCAATATAATGCAGGTGATGTAAACCAGCCATTTATCCTTAAAATACTGTGGGTACAGAAAGTATTCACACCCCTTTAAATGATTCACTCTTTGTTTCATTGCACGCATTTGCTATAATCTATAAAGTTAATTTAATTTCTCATTAATGTGCACTCAGCACCCCATCTTTACAGAAAAAAATAAAAAAATGTAGACATTTTTGCAAATTTATTAACAAAGAAAAACTGAAATAGTATAATATTGAGTAGAAGCAACCTTTTGAGCTCGTACAGCCATACGTCTGGATTTGGGGATCTTCTTCTTTGCTGATCCTCTCCATGTTTTCAGGTCGGATGGAGAGCGTTGATGGACGGCCATTTTGAGGTCTCTCCAGAGATGCTCCCTTGGGTTCAGATTAGGGCTCTGGTTGGGCCAGTAATGAATGGTCACAGAGTTTTTCCCCAAGCCACACCTTTGTTATTTTAGCTGTGTGCTTAGGGTCATTGTCTTGTTATAAGGTGAACCTTCAGCCCATTCTGAGGTCCTGAGCTACCCTGGAAGAGGTTTTCTTCCAGGATATCTCTGTATTCGGCCACACTCATCTTTCCGTCAATTGCAACCAGTGGTCCTGTCCCTGCAGCTAATAAACACCCCCATAGCATGATGCTTGACAGTCTTTACCATTCCACCATCAGGTTTGCCATAAATGCTCCTTTGAATACACACCACTGCGTCTGTATTCATCTGTCAACTGGCCCTCCCTTCACAATCGACGCAAAATTCACTGGTTCATCTTCATTTACAGGACCCTTCTGGGCCGCTCACCACTTTAATTAGGTCACCTACTGCAGCCAAAGCCTCTCTTACAACATGCAGTCCTCACTTCATCTACAATCACTTATTCCTAAAACCACTACTTGCTTCTTTTCAATCTGCTGCTGCTCGTGACTGGAACGCTCACCAAAATATTCTCCAACTGAACAGACTAATTTCACTTTCATCCTTCAGAACAATTATATCATCGTCGTTCACAGACACTTGCAGCTGCTTCTCTACGTCATTTCTGGGTTGTCTGTTGTGTTTTAAATTGTATTTTATTAGTAATGTATTTATTTTAGCCCTACTTCCCTTTTCCTAAGTGGTTACTCCACTGTTGGGATTGTATTGAGCAGTTTATGAGCAGTACCTGGTTTTCTCCACACTTACAGCTTAGAATTAACCCCAAAAAGTTTTAATCTTGGTCTCATCAGACCAGATAATCTTTTTTTTTTCTCATAGTCTGGGAGTCCTTTTTGTGTGTTTTGGCAAACTCTAAGCAGGCTTTCATTCGTCCTGCACTGAGGAGAGGCTTCTGTTTGGCCACTCTGCCATAAAGCCCTGACTGGTGGAGCACTGCAGTGATAGTTGACTTTGTGGAACTTTCTCCCATCTTCCCACTGCATCTCTGGAGCTCAATCACAGTGATCACTGGAGTCTTCTTTACCTCTCTCACCAAGGCTCCTCTCCCAAGATTGTTCAGTTTGGCTGGACGACCAGGTCTAGGAAGAGTTTTGGTCGTCCCAAACTTCTTCCATTTAAGGATTATGGAGGCCACTGTGCTCTTAGGAACCTTGAGGGCTGCAGAAATTCTTTTGTAACCTTGGCCTGATTTGTGCCTTGCCAATATTCTGTCTCTGAGCTCCTTGGGCAGATCCTTCCACCTCCTGATTCTGGTTTGTTCTGGCAGGCACTGTGAGCTGGAAGGGCTTATATAGACAGGTGTGTTCCTTTCTTAATCAAGTTCAATCAGTTTAATCAAACACACCTGGACTCTGTTGAAGGAGCAGAAGGATCTGAAGAAATGGACAGCATGTGAGTTAAATATGACTACGTTTACACAGCAGCCTGAAGTGATCCAAATCCAATTTTCTTTGCCCATATGCGACCTGGATCTGATCTTTTCAAATGCGACCTGTGTCTGAACGGCCAGGTCGCATTCATCCAACCTGAACGTCATTAATACCCGACAAAGTTCACTATTCTGCGTCTTGCTAAGAAGAAGCAGCAAGAAAAACAACAACCCTGGCTACCGATGATGCAGAGAGCTGTATTTATGTTTAACCATCTTGAAAAGATTGTGTTTTATAGTTGGGAAAGATCGCTAGATGCGCTCCGGCACTCCCATCCATGTTTACTTCCGTAAACACAGAGCACGCTGGCCTGTAACATCATTGTGTCCTCTACTGCGCATGCGGGACACTTGTGTTGTATGGATGCAGTTCACACAGGAGATCACATAAAAGTCGCATATATTTGGAAATATGAATGGCGATGCAAAAAAATAAATCTGATTTCACCAAAAAATCGGAATTGAGCATCAAGGCCCGCAGTGTGAACGTAGCCTATGAGTGTCACAGCAAAGGGTCTGAATACTTATGACCATTTGATATTTCAGTTTTCTTTTTCTTTTTTTATTTGCAAGAATTTCTACATTTGTTTTTTTCTGTCAAGATGGGGTACTGAGTTCACATTCATGAGAAATAAAATGAACTTTATTGATTTTAGCAAATGGCTGCAGTGAAAAATGTAAAGGGGTCTGAATATTTTCCGTACCCATTATATATCAGTTGACCTATATGGACTTTCTGTCTTCTTTACAGTAATGCCTAATATGGATCTTGGTGACTGAGATCCTAAAGCTATGTTGATAGCTAAAACATCATTATGAACCGAGCCAGGGTAGTGCAGAGAATCTGGGTTAGTTTTAGTCAGAATTCATATTACATTATTCCATAGCAAGGTGAGAACATAAGGTTTTCATCATATGGAGCAGTGCTTATCAAGATTACTACATTTCCTACAAAATGCTTCTATTTCAAATCCGTTCTTGTTTAATAATGTTTTCTCACCAGGGCAATGGGGTCAATGCCTTTCTTCATCAGTGTTTTGGTGAAAGGCAGGGTAAATATACGCTGGACAGGATGCCAGGCCGTTGCTGAGCAACACAGAAAAAACCACGATGCAAAAACACACACACTCACATTTGAGGACAATTTACAGACTCTTTAAAGTATATTTGAAATTTATTGACTACTTTCCAAAAAAAAAAAAAGCAAAGAAATTTACAGTGGAAAAATACAGATACAGCTCCAACTTTTAGTATGGAGGATAAATTAAAAAAACAATTTAAAATGACAATAATAAAGGGAATGTTTCTAGATGCTCTCCCTTACGCAGTTTTATAAATGACCCTCTATAAAAAATGATAGTTATTTTTTTTATTTGACTTTTTTATTTTACTTTCGGTTGCTAAACTTGTTTGAAAATCAAAAAAAGCCCACTTTATTTGGGTGGGCTTTTGTCTAGCGATTTAAAACTAAATAAATGGTACTTAGACTGGGGGTGATCAAAACAGGTTCAGTTTCCAAATAAAGCCATGGAAAGGTATTTTTATAGCTAAAAAATCAAACAAACAAACAAAAAAATACAATAAAGGTATAAAGTTAATCTGTCTGGATTTGAAAAGTCGAAGCCAAAAGCCAACTGTTCCATTGTTGTTTATTAATATAGAATAAGGCTAGTATAACCTGTCTGTTTGCAGTGATTTTCACTCAAATGTCCAGAATTTCATAACTGTTTAGAAATGTTATGTAAAAATGTAATTTTAAATTACAAAATGCTATTCTCTCTTTCGTATTAATGAAAGCTGCGATCTATAGCACCACTTCACAGTCATCAATATTCCAGAGTATAAATAACAAACCAGTTTTAGCCAGTCTGATGATGAACTTTTCTATTGCAGAGAATATCTTTCAGGACATTTTACGTTCTAACATAAAGTCTCAACTATTTTTCATGGGTTGTAGCTTCTAAAGTAGCAGAAATGTTGTGTTTGTTTCCTGGAAGTCTTCCTTTAGATCAGTCTGCTGTTTCTTTCTGTGTTTCTTCACTTTCTTCAGATCTGTCCGCTGCTTCTCCTCCCCTCTGCTCTCTTGGCTTGGGAAAGGCTGTTTTTTTCCTCCAAACGCAACGCCAGAAACGGACGTTGAGAAAGTATCAGACTTAACCGGAATCAATGGTACAAGTCTTATTGTCGCAGTGAGGAATGGGGTGGTGAATAAGATCATGAATCCCCCCCCTTCAGAAAATGACTGTTCCGCTTGGGTCATATGTTATTTAGCTCAGTGTCACAGAGGCATTTTATTGAGATGTGTTTGAGTGTTTCTGTTTTTTTTTTCTCCCCTCTCTGGAGAACATAACACCCAAACACAGATTCAAAGATGTGTTTCTGGAAGAACAGCATGTTTTCCAGATCCACACACCATAGAATTGTTATTCCCAAAAGCATGATGACATTTCCTTTTAATATCCAGTAAATGTTAAAGTCCAATTTGCAGGAATATGAATATTAAAAATCATTATAAAGATGTGCAGATCGATTTCTTTAGATGAGAATAAACAGATGAATCATCTCAGTTCATAGGGCCCTATAAAATCCGTTTTATTTTTTCCCAAATTGCGTTTTTTCCGTTTTTATGTATGTATTTTTGCGCTTCCAATCAATGGAATATTGACAAAACTTGCCAAACAATAGTTCACCCGACACGTAAAAGTCACGAGGGAACTGCTCGGCTCTGTACTCAGGGCTTAGCATCGTGTTTCTCAACTTTTTTGCCGAAAGCGGAGCTGCGGAGAGCCGCTTCGCCATTTTTTCAATGTTTTGATGGGGGAGGGTGAGCGGAAATGACGGAGTGGGAGGGGTTGTGTCGCCCAGATTTGCATCCCCTGGTGTGCATCTCCCCCCGATGTATGTTCTTCTCCCACACAAAAACAGAATTTCATTTCAAATGTAGAAATTCCGCATTTACTCTAGATTCCACGTTAATTTGCCAATTCCGCGATTCCGTCCGCGATTCCGTGATTGCGGAAATTATAGGGCCCTAAGTTCAGGAGTGTAGCAGGCCTTAAAGGAGAAGTCCGGTCAGCAAGGAATAATCAATGAATCAATATTTATACACAAAACTAATACGTTTGCTATGATTAATGAATTGAGCGTTAATCTGTAAAAAAAACAAAAAAAATAATTTTCATCGCGATCACAGAGTCTGGGAGTGGCCATTTTTGCCCAAATATGGTAACAACTCACTCCTGAAATGTTCCAGCAGTGACGTGACGGTGCGGTAAGCATAGCGCCATAAACTGACAATGCAGTTGGATGTAGATAAAGACTCTCTCCTCACTATCGTCCGCCATACTTGTTTTTCTTCCCGCTTCTGCGCAGCAAGCCACTGAATAGTGACCTTTGTTGCATATTCACCCTTTATAGCGAAGTATATAGTGAAATATTTTGAAAATCACCATTTCAATCCAATAGTGTTATTGGTATCCAGGACAAGACCTTATTACCTTTGTAACATAAAAAAAATATGGATATGTTGATGGTAAAAATGAATGTCAATGTAATAACAAGAAACACCAAGTAGCCCGAATATATTAAGAAAAATAACAAAAGTGCTTCTATAAGAAATTCATGAAACGAAACACGTTTTTCTTTGGTCCAACATAACCTTAGAGGCATTAATGCCGATACTGGCACTGACATTTTTTAGTTTATAAACTTAAATATAATTTTTTACTAGGCTTATTAACTTTACTTTTTAACTTTTCAATTAGCTTTTTACCTTTTTTTTCTTGACTTGTTAACTTTTTTTCCAACTTAATTTCCAGTAGGTAATATATCATTAAAGGGCTCCTCTAATTGGTCAAATGCCAAGATAAGATGTACAGCCATGTAGCAGGACCTTTGCTGAATGGCTGGATATAGATCTAGTGCTTCTAGACGTCAGTGAGGGACAGGGGGAGACTCCATTTGTAAGGGGGATGCAAGGGATCAAAAGGTCGTATGAATGTGAACTGTCCGTTCAGAGACAGGTCCCATTTGAAACGATCAGATTCTTATCGGATTCAGGACCACAGAGCCAAGTGGCTCGGGTCGCATTGAAAAAAATCAGATCTGTGTCGTTCAGACTGTCATGAAAAGATCAGATACAGATTGGATATGGGCAAAAAAATGGGATTTGGGTCACTTCAGGGTGCTATGTGGACATAGCCTTATAGATTACCCAGAAGCTAATCCTATCCAAGAGCCTTGGACTCCCCCGGTGAGGTCCTGGCTCTGCTTTTTAATAATAGTATAGTTTTTAGTGGTAGTCCTTTGTTTATTGTCTCATTGGTTTTCATCAGAACCTCATATATTAAAAATACATCAGTTATCTGTAATGATAGATAACCTGATTCAAACTGACTATCTTCTCCTCCTGCCCTACAGAGGGAGCCAGAACGGGAGGAGCAACCTGAAGACAACATGCCCCCAAAGTTTAAGCGACACCTCAATGACGATGAGGTCACTGGATCCATCCGCAGCGAGAGGGTGAGAGAAAGATGTAGTGGAAAATGACATGTTTGGTTTCTGGTTTGTCTGGGTGGGGGGTCGGATAAACAAAGAGGGAAGGAAGCAAACATACAAGGTGAAAGAGGAAGGATGTGAAACAAACAGACCTCCTGGTTCAGTTTAAACAATATTGCAGCAAGACACAAACAAGGAAAATATGCTGCAGACCACCAGAGACAAAGGTTTTGAATGAGTGGGTTTAGCGGTTGAGTCTTGAGAAACTCTTGGGGCCAAATATCTGCTCCTCATCAAAGCAATCATCCTGTCCCTCCCTCCTGTACTCTCCTTCACCCTTCCCTTCTTCTTTTGTGTTTTCACCCGGGATCAAAGCTAAGCTTATAGGGGGAATCTTGCATAACAGCGTTCTCTCCTTCCCAGCATTGTCCGTCGTTTTCTCCCTCCGATAATTACTACCAGTTCTCCTCGTCTCCTGTGCTGATGAAAAATGCAGAGCGAGGTTCCACAGGAGCAGGGTGTTATTGCTCAGACGTATAAAGAGCTTTATGATCATGTGGCCACCATCTTTTCAAACTTCAAACAGATGATCTGCAAAAAAAATAAGACGTGTGTGGAGTAGAGTTTGGCTGTCTGATAAGATCTTACCTTTCTCTACTGTCTGTACAGTTAATGTGTTTAGAAGATGATAATAATTGGCTGCAGCTTCCATAAATGAAATGTTATTACCGTATTTTCCAGACTATTAGCCGCTACTTTTTTCCCGCGCTTTGAAGCATGCAGCTTATAAGAAGGTGCAGCTTTTCTGTGGATTTTAGCGAACCGACAGAGGGTGAAGTTAAAGTTGGAAATAAAAGAATAAGGGGCTAATTTTCATTTAGCACAAGAACATGCTAGCAGCAGGACCGACGGAGAAGAAATGTCCCAAATTCACACATTTTGATATTTATTTGCCGCATTAAAGCTGCCGAAAGAGACTGGACTCAACAGCTGCAGAGCTGAAATAAAGAGCCTAAGAGGCCCCATCTTTCAGTAGACGCTCTTACTGCTGCGAGCAGTAAGAGCGTCTACTGAAAGATGGGCCAACAAGCTAACAGGAGCTAGCATTCATCTTCTTCCATGCTCCAGGGGCTATATGTAGAGCTCTCCCAACACGTTTGGTGGGAGACAGTTCAGTAGATATCCTTCCAGAAAGCTAAAATTAAAAAACAAACCACTAGACCTTGTTTTCCAAGTTTGAATACATTTCTCTTCCCATCCAGCTTTCTCAATTGAAAATGCCAGCTCCACCTCTTAATAATGGGCTTATTGTTGGCGTGCAATACCAGATACTGGCCCATTCCTCTAAAAAGGCAGTCATCAAGTTCAGTAGATATCAGCGGCTTTTAGTCCGGTGCGGCTTATATATGTGCATTTCCAGTGTTTTCAAATCATTTTCTGCTCTATAGTCTGGAAAATACAGTATTTATTCCGATCATAAAATGAAAAGAACCTCCATCTAAGATTTAAATCTAGATGTCTTCCTTTCACTCAATGAGAAACAGACTCTCATGTCTCCTGTGAGAATTTTATCAGGGTTCCCGCGGGTCCTTAAAAAGTCTTAAAAGGCATTGAATTCTTCAAAATAAAAC